TCTAGGATTCTGTGAAAGGACAAGCTCTCCTCCCATCTGGGGGTGTGGGGGTTACCTTGCTCTCTCGATGGCTTCTGTTCTGTGCACGTTGGAGAGCTGGCCCAGGCAGAAGCGGTCTCCCCCCGAGGGATCCACGTACCCGTCCACGGTGACGATGGGACAGCTGGAGGGGACCTTAAAGGTCTCCCCAACTTGCACGTCCATTTCAAAATAGGCAATGGAACACCAGTATTCTGGAGCTGAAGGAGAAACAAGGAGCCATGAGGCACAAATCCCACCTCACAACTCAACCCAGCCAACCCAAGAAGCCTTCTGGCGACTGCTGAGGTCATCCAGGGTAGCACAGAAGCCAGTTCAGGTGGACAAAGACTCTTCTCCTGGTTTTATTTGAGCACACAACACAAAGGAGGTTTTCTAGTTAAGCTTTTACAAGTCTCTGTGCAGTTTGTAAACCCATCTGCATGCCTGCACCTTATTATAGCTTGATTTTTGTCAGCCTTCAGCATAAAAGTAATGCATATATTCATGGCAAGCTGATAGGATCCAATTCCCAAACAGATTTGGAGTGAGAACTCTCCCAGCTCCCTAAGTGCTGCTCGTTCAGTACTAACTGCAGCACCTATTTTGTCTTAAAATCTGCTTAAAATCAAAGTGAACACAAGGAAAAACAGCTTTGGGGTGAGGGTGGCCGAGCCTGGAGCAGCTGCCCAGAGAGGCTGTGGAGTCTCCTGCTCTGGAGAGATCCCAAACCCACCTGGATGCCACCCTGGGTTACCTGCTGTGGATGAGATGATCTCCAGAGGTCCCTTCCAACCCCCACTAGTCTGGGATTCTGTGAAGGTGCCTCAATTCCTTGAAGTTTTATTTTTATCTTCAAATAAAGAACTGGCCCAGGTTACCCAGGGAAGCTGTGGATGTTCCATCATCCCTGGAGGTGTCCCAGACCAGGTTGGATGGAGCTTGGAGCAACCTGCTCTAGTGGGAGGTGTCCCTGCCCATGGCAGGGGGGTTGGAGGACTTGATTTTACAGGACTTGATACAAAGAATAACAGTTAATGATCAGATTCAAACCAGAAAGTTATTAGCTTGGATTTTACTCACCAGGATGATTTGATATAGGAGGCTGGAATGCAAGTTCATTGTGAACTGGCCCTTGAAAAGAAAACAAATGATATGTTTTATAGCAGGAAAAATAAGGGGGTTTTATAGTTAAAACACTTGTGAGGATGCCAGATGTTACAAATCCCATTAATTTCTGAATCAATTGGCCAAATCTGACAGGGGAGAAAAGTGCCCACAGAAGAATCACCCCCTTAGAGGTCTCCTGAAAGTTCAGGAGTAGAGCCAAGAGCCCTGTTAATATCCCAGGAGGAAAATTGGGCATGGAGATGTCACAGAAATAGGACCCAAGCTTCACTTTTGCCCTCAGGCTGGGCAAAGAGAGATTTATTGTATAGAGATATGGGATCTAAACCTGAAGCCACACTTGTTTGGTTTCATGAATTCCAGAACAAGTTGCCCAGCATGCTGTGGGCCACAAGAAACACTCCCTGAAGATGGGGGGGAAAAGAAAACCACCTAGAGAATTCATTTCCTAAGAAAATAAAAACCCTGAATATACTCTTGGTATTGTTTATTCCCTCCACTTTTAGGAACTAACCTTGCAGGCAGCAGAGAACAAGGAGGAAAGGCTTAAATAAAGTATTATAAGGCACAGCAGCTTTTGCACCAAGATGTCACAACAGGAGCTACAGCACTGCTGAAGTTTTTACACCTTGGGAGCTCTGATAAATGAAGGAGGAGCCTAACAGGGTAAAATAATGAAACTTAAGCACATCTAACCCAAGCTCAAGTCATCCTAATATTAACTCTCAGTGTCTTCTCCCCTTCCACCACCAACTGCTCCAACCAGGTGATGTGGTTAAAGACTCTGTTGGGAAATAAAGACCTGTTCCAGCTTTTGGCCACAAAAAAGCTTTAATTTGGGTAGGTTTTTGTTCTTGATTTGCACTCTAATCTTATAAAGCATCTACTCTACCAGACAGACTAGAATGTTGATCACTTTTTTTCCCCCCTTCCTCTCTCCTGTGCCTTAGAACAAAGAGGTTGTGCTCCTATTTTGTTGATAAATAGGATTTTTGTGTGCCAAATACACTCCTGGTTTGGGCTGTGGTGAGACCATCTATTGACAAGGACTTTACTGCAGGAGATTTCCAAAAATTCTTTTCACCTGGTTAATGTACATGGACAAACACCTTCCAGAGCTTAAGGGAGATGGTTACATCATGAAGACCCTGCTTCAAAATGTCCAGAAAACCAGCCAGGAGCTCTCAAGTTTTGAGGGCAAAATCCCTGAACACCACATTTTGAATCAGCTTGTTTTTTCTGCAGAGGAAATAGTTCCTTGTGAGCTCACAAAGCTTTAAGAACAGAGGTTTAGAAAGGGAATTCTGGGTTTGTGAGGTAAAGCAAGATGTTTATAGTGTAGATGGGGTTACCACAGCTATCTAATTTCTAATCTCTGCTGCTTTAATGGAGGAAAGTCCATCCAGCTGTTATATTTGACTCTCAGAATACACTAAATGGTAGATTTAGAATGAAAAACTTCAAAGATCTGGGGGTTCAAAGTCTCCTTCTCTGAAGACATCAAAAACCTGCCTGAACACCACCCTGGGCAACCTTCTCTTGGTGACTGTTGGAGCAGGGAAGGTTGGACAAGAGGATCTCCAGAGCTCCCAAATCCCACCATGCTGGAACTCTTTAACCAACCACCAGAACCAAGCTGCCACCCTTCAAGAGAAGGGAATGGAAGCTCTGCAGTGCTTACAGTAATGTCCAGGGTGCATGGGTGGATGGTGCTGAAGATGGCCATTCTGGTGGTGAGGTATGGTAGGGGTGTAGGCTGCCGTCCGACTTCCAGTCCAAGTTGTGGTACTATCTAAAAAAAAAAGAAAAGAGTGGTTGGGTTGGGTTGATTTTTTTTTTTTAAAGGGAGTTTTACCCCATTTTCACCTCTAAATCTTCTTCATTTCTCCTGAACTTGGTTTTTTAAGAGAACTAAAAGTGCAGGTGTGGGTATACTCACTGTGATGGTAAGTAGCTGGCTGAGCTGTAAACTCATTCTGCTGAGTTCCTGGCTGAGGCCCTGCAGCAATCTGTAAGAATCCATCACTATGGCTACCTGTCAATATACTGGGAGGTTGACCTGGTAAAAAAACACACTACCTAATTCATCAGTGTTCCAAAATTTGAAAGAAAAAGAGGCTCAGCACTATTGGGTAGGAAAAGACACCCAACTCAGGGCACTGGAAGAAGACAGTTCCTACAAGTTTGGTTTCAGGATTTGTTTTCTCACCCTACAAGTTTGGTTTCAGGATTTGTTTTCTCACCCACCAGAGTAGTTTTTAGGAAGCTTGAAGCAAAAGGCTCCATCATCTGTTCAATTTCACTCTGTCACCCTGAGTAGTTTTGGAGTAGAAATATGCAGAGGACTCAGTTTATCAACCACAACTTTGGGGTTTTTTTTCCCATCTCAATTTTCAGTTTGAAAACAAAAAAAATGGAAGAAAGGGGTTTTTTCCCCCATCTCAGTTTTCAGTTTGAAAACAAAAAAAGTGGAAGAAATGTCACCAATTTGGGGGGTTTCTTTTTTATTCAGTAAAATAGCTGGACTAGAGCTGGTATAAATCCAAGCAGGTCAACAGCAAGTTGTTTATTTTTCTCACCCACCAGAGTAGTTTTTAGGAAGCTTGAAGCAAAAGGCTCCATCATCTGTTCAATTTCACTCTGTCACCCTGAGTAGTTTTGGAGTAGAAATATGCAGAGGACTCAGTTTATCAACCACAACTTTGGGGTTTTTTTTCCCATCTCAATTTTCAGTTTGAAAACAAAAAAAATGGAAGAAATGTCACAAATTTGGGGGGGTTCTTTTTTATTCAGTAAAATAGCTGGACTAGAGCTGGTATAAATCCAAGCAGGTCAACAGCAAGTTGTTTATTTTCAGTGTCACCACTGTTCCTAAGGAGGACACTTGCTCAAATTCATGTTCATGCTGAACAATATTTGATTTTTAAATAAACCAGAGCTGCACACATCACTGCACTCCTTCCTGAGAAAGCTGCTGGGTTGTTGTGGGGTTTTTTTCCCCAAATAAACATTCCAAGAATTGTCTAAGCTTTGAAATAAAACTAGAGATATTCCAAGAAGAGGTTAAAGAACTGGATTTTCAAAGGCTTCAGCTCAGCCATTAGCACTAAACTCATCAGCAGTTTGCACTCTCCAACTGGTGTGGCCAGTGGTTTTTAGCACACTGAGAACTTGAACTAAAACCTGAAAAATGAGCTTTTTTTTCCCCTATCCACTTGCCTCCAATAATGATAGCACTGATGAGAAAGAGTTGTTGACTATAAACTGGCAATATAATTCAACTGCCTATCTTCTTTTCTCTGCTGGAGACAAAGACATCACATCTCAGCTTGGCAAAACCATCCTGAGTTTCAGCAAAAAAAAGCTGTCAGCTCACATGAAAACATCATCAAAGCACCATAATTCAGGTTTGAGAACATCAAATCCATAACACGACAAAGAGCACATGAAATCCCTCCAAATTTTGTGGTTTCCCTACGTCAGGGCTGCAGGTAACTGCTTCACTGCCCTGCTGGAGTGAAATGTGAGGTTTGAGACACTTTCCCTTGTACCAAACACACCCAGAGTATGAAAAAAACTTCAATATTCAACTCAGATTAAGGAAAAAACTCAAGAGTAAGAAAAATTTCAACGTAGCACTCTAACAGACTCATTAAAATATCAATCAGGGCTGTCCTTTTGGTAGTAATTTGGCTTGTAATTTTGATAGGATAGTAGATCATGAGGAAAATGATCAAATTAAAACTAGAAGGCTCATTTTGTCTGCTGTGCAGTGCTACAGAATGGTCTGAAAGCCTTTAGATGCTGCCACTTTACAGCAGATTTGCTGTTGTAATAAAATAATCCAATTCTTCCCCTCCTGTGGCAATCATTCTTCTGATGATAGGCACAAGGTTTTGTCAGCAGTCAATTGGTTTAATGTGGTGTCACTGAACCTTGGGCATATCCAAAGCTGTCTTTTAACACTCCTGGAGTGTCAGTCTCACAGCAAATAAAGGCTTGGTCACCAGGAGAAGTTCCTGAGATCATGCTCCAAGTGCAGCCTGCCCAGATGCCACCACCACGCGCTCTCTCGGCCTCCTGTGGCAGCAGCAAGACTTCCTTTGACAAAACCCAGGGCTTCTCTTGGAGCTTTCCCACCTTCCCAGTGTAGCATGGGGTATAAACACCACGAGCTTACTTGTTGAAGCCACAGGAATGTTGGGGAAATTGGTGGTGCTGGTGGTGCTGGCCTCGGTGGGAGCTAACATGGCCGGGGTGCTGTACGGCTCCGTGGACGCCCTGTTACTGGGTGGGTGCTGGATGGTTTGGACAGAATGCCCTTCAGCAGAAGACAAGGAGGGCTGCCCCTCGTAGTCATGAACGTATTCGTCCTTCACCAACATGCTTGATGGAGCTGCCAAGGAGAAAAGAGCTTGAGAAGACATCTCAGATTTAACCACCAACGGCAGCGCCGCTTCCCGGCCGATAACCGCGCTCTGAGAGCTACCAGGGGGAGGATTCAGCCTTTTAAACATCACTAAAGCACTCCTCCAAATGACAAATAAACACTTGGAGGCAGCAGCAGGATGTTTGGAAGCAGAACTAGATGGAAAAATAAAACCCAAATGGTTTCTTTAGCTCACTGCTATCAAACAAGCAGCTTGGGCCCGTGGTGGAAGAATCCCGACAGCGTTTTGGTTTCTGGTCCATCACTGTGGGATTGGCCACGGGGAAGAAAAGGGGCAAAAGGCTTTTTGTCAGGCACTTAACTCTAAATTAATGCAGCTAACAAACCCATTCCCTGTCTACAAGTCACACTGGGTATCAAACTCTGTGAAAAATGCAATTTATAAACCCAGCACCTAAAAAAACCCTTCACGTTTTTAAGCGCTCCCATCCAAACGGACTAAAAAGCATCAAATTCAAATTCAAAGTAACACTACTCCCTATTTACACCCATTCACTGTCTACAAATCACACAGGGTATCAAACTCCTGTGAAAAATGCAACTTATAAACCCAGCACCTAAAAAAAACCTTCACGTTTTTAAGCGCTCCCACCCAAATGGACTAAAAAGCATCAAATTCCAATTCAAAGTAACACTACTCCCTATTTAACCATGGAGCCACTAATTCACAACATTCCCCCACACAGCATAAGGAAATCACTCTAAGAATTTACTTCTATATCTCCCACTGAGCACATTGGAATAAAACTCTTCCATGGCATTAGCTCCCGTGCTCATTTTTTTCTTAAAGCGGCTTTAAAACGTTCAAATCTGAGAGGAATTTTCTGTTTCCTGCTGCAAAATAACCCAGCAGCCAGCCAAGGAAACATTCTGCCTGGATTTAACTGCTGGTTGGTAAGCTTTGAGGTTTATTTTTCACCAGACACAGGTAATGAGGCAAATCAGCAGAGATGAGCACACAAGTTACAGCTTGAAGTTAACGGTTCGTTGGGTTCTTTGGGGTTTTTGGAGTCATTTTTGGCTCAAGTGCTTCTAGTAACGTGCAAAAATCATTGGATTGGCCAAAATTTCCTTGGTTATGAAGTTCTTCTGGCAGGAAATAAAAAAATCAGTGTTTGAAATGAAGCAGTTTGCAGGCTGCACAACCTCAGACTTGTGAATGGTGTTCGTGGGGGTATTTAACATCCAATTCCTCTCAAATTTAGGGAGGGCAAGAATATTAAACACCTTTAATTGCATATTAATTACAGCATTTTTACTAGTTTCTTCTTCAACTACTTATTAAATCATCAACATCTATGATTTCCAATTCAACGTGTCTCAAAAAGTGCACAAGTTCTTGGGAGTTGGGGTTTTTTTGGTTGTTTTTTGTGGGTTTTGTGGTTCTGGGATTTGGTTTAGGTTTTTTTGTTTTAATTAGCAGCACTCAGTGAGTTTTCTGGGGGTTTGTTTTTTGTTGGGGGTTTAGTCCATGCAATAGCAACCAGAACTACTTACCAGAACTCTGTAGTGTCAGTCCTGAGAGATCTTAAAAAAAGAAGAAAAGGGGGTGCAGAGGATTACACAGCAGATCTTCAGCAATGCTGAACATTAATAAGCCTTTAGAAATTAGTACTAGAGGCTTTAATTACTACACCCCCTCCACCAGAAGTCTCCACACGAAGTTACTCCCAAGTTACACATCAACTGTGTTAGACAGAAAGGCTTAAACAAAAGCCACAAACTGTTCTTTCCCATTTGGAACAAAGGCAAAAGAATCATTCCATTAAGATGAACAAGAGCATAGGAGAGTAATTCTTAATGAGAGCATTAAAAGTTAATGCTTCTAATTTCAGCCTGTTTTCTGCCCTCCAAACATTAGACATTTTATTCCCACTGTTCCATCTGAAATGAAAGAGTCCACTTACCTATGCCAGGTGAGACTACACGCTCATAATGGTAAGGGTTTACACAGACACTGTCACATTTTAAGTCAAAAGCATACTGACAATATTTAACATGCTTGAGTTCATTTTTGTGAAGATCAGGCCACCTCCAAAGTCGTGCATAAATCACATGGGGGAATCCCTTGCGACCAGCCACCTAAAAATTCAGACACAAGTTGAGTGGGAAAGTAGCAAAAAAAGGACAAACAGCACCACAACCTCTCTCCAGCATCAAAATATGGGAGGGGAGGAAGGTGGTGGTCAGTTTCCCTAAGTTCTGTGCTCAACAGAAATAGATTTCTAGGAGGGTTTTTGCTACAGGTTAAGTCAAAATTGGGATTCTGAAGGAAAAATACTGGATCCAAAAGGGTAGAAGCAGAATTGGTGCTTCCTGTGGTACACACAGACACCTTCCCTGCTGTGGATGGTGAAGCTTTGCCCCAGAAGAAGAGGAAGGAGGCACTGAGCTACACAGGAAGGAATTTACAAGTAGAAGAATGCCAATCTGTTCTACTGGAATTAAAACCAAATCAAATAAAGATGTTTCTAGGGTAAGATAGGAAGCCAGCCAGCAAACACACCCTCTGTCCTGGAAGGAGGAAATCACAACCCAAGCTATACAGGTACTGATGGCACCAGGCTAAGGTAAATCCTCAGTGCAGCCTCCTTGGAGAAGCTGAGCAAGGGATCTCAAGTCTTCCTTCACCCTGTTGACCAACACAGAGCCACCAGAAGCTTGCAGTGAGAACGCTGGATTTCTGCCACCCTGCTCCTTACTGCCACACACACACACCCCTCCAGAAGGGCTGAGCCAAACACCTTCTGCTAAAAAAAACCACCAACTCCCACAGCAGTCCAGAGCTCCAGCCACAAAAACGTGCCTACAAACGGGGAGGGGGATGCAAGAGAAGAGCTCCTCTTCCTCAACACTCCAGGAATCCTGCGTCACGCCCTCCCCGCTGCAGCTTCACCAGGAGGAAAAAACCTCTGAATTCCCCTGGCACTGACCTGCAGCCTCCCATCCAACGTTCTCTGGATGGTCACGCACTTGCTGGGATGAGCACCGTTGGTGGTGATGGCTGTGATCAAAGAATCCAACTCATCTTTTTTCTCCTTCAGCTTTTTCACCAAGCTCTCGATGGCGCGTTTGGCGAAGGTTTCGCTCTCCCCGCCTTGCCGATGGCACATCAAGCTGTGGACAATGCTCAGACAAGCATCATTACTGGTGGGTGTGTTAGTAATAGACATATTGTCCATTGGTCACAGCTTTTTGGGGTTTGTTTTTTTTTTGGTTTGTTGGTTTGTTTCTGGTTTGTTGGGGTTTTTTTTTCCTGGTTTGTTGGGGGTTTTTTCTCCGTCCTCTCCTTTCTTTCGGATCAAACGTCGGTTGTTGTGATTTTCAAGGTGATGAGCAAGAGATGATCCAAATTAAAAGGTTAGAAGGACTGGGGAAAACCTAGGAGGGAAAAAAAAATAGCTCCATTAAAATTGGTTTTTAACCAACTGCACATCAGGTTTCTAAGGAAGTCTGTGGCTTTTTGCTTCTTTTATTTCCCAGCTAAGTGCAGGATATTAAAAGCACATGAAAAAAAAGAAGAACTGCTCTGCTTTGTCCCATGATAGTGAAAAATGCTGAAGATGCTGCTCACACAGGTTTAGAGCTCTTTTTATTTCTCTTTTTCCCCTAGAAATACTATTTAAATCAAGATTTTCATTTCCATACACATCCACATAGGATGCACACAGAGAAAAGTTGGGAGCATGAGGTGAACAGCCTCAAACTAGGAAAAGGAGAACAGTGACAATGATTCCCAAGGTTTTTACACTCTTCAGGTAGTTCAGCTGATCTCAGATTAACTTTAATTCTCTCTGCTAATCAGAAAGGCAAAAATTGGACCTGGCCAGGAGCTTAATCTGTATTTCTGTAACAAAGTATTGTGGGTATCTGGAAACAGGACAATCCCAACTGGTACATTTAGGCTTTACTTGTTTGGATCCAGATTCTCCTAGATGGAGTTAAATCAACTGAAGGCACTAAAAATCCCAAATTGTCTCAAGAATTGACTTAACTGAAGTAAATAAAAGGTAAGGAAGAAATCCCTCCTAACACATTGAGCCTTTCAACTCCATTTGTGAAAGAACCTGCAGTGGTTTCTGGTCGTGAAGTCCTTCTCCTCAAAGCCAGCACACCTCAACCTCTTAAAATTTCCTTTAATTAACAAATGAGAAGAGCTGGCCTGGTTTTCTCCCTTCTGAATGAGCCAATTATGAGGCTTTATCTCACTTGAGCCAGAACCAGAGGGCAGCAGGTTTGGGGCACTGACAGAAAAGGAGTTTAATGTTGGCAAAAAGCTGCTCTGCTTCTTCCAAGCAGCTCTGGCTTCAAGTAGTCACCCACTAACACCATTCTCCCAGCTACCTGGTCTAAGACACTGACAGCAAACTATTATGAAAAGAAATAAAGTCTTCTCTATTTCATATTTTCTCCAATTTCAACTGGAATGCTTGGGGGGGAAAAAAAAACCCACACACACAACACATCATAAATCCTTCCCCTCACTCCCTCCCTGTTTTCTTCTTTTGTAAGGATGGACCTAATTTCTCCCAAAGGAAAATAATTACCTAAAAAGTTTGAAGATCACTTTACCTAGTTATTCAAGTTTCTCCCTTGCTGCTAGGGGTTTGGGGTGGGGTTTTTTTTTGGGTGCTTCAACTCAATAAGCCTCTTTTAAAAGTCAAGCTTCACCTGCCAGTCATTCTCCATGGCAACTGGCATAAATCTGTACAAGCCTGCCAGCTAAAAGAGAATAGAACATCATTTGCCTTCAACACAAAGCAGCATCCCAGATAGATCCATCTAAATAATCATAAATAAAGGGCTTTATAAAGCTATGAAAGAAAAGAGATGCTTAAAATCAACCACGCCCCAAAAAACCACTCGGTGGCTTCCAGAGGGCCAAGATCAAGCCCAAAAATCCTCATTTCAGGGGAATGATCTTCAGAAAGGTTGAATCCCCCCCTCAGCTGCCACCCTGCTCAACAGGAGCTTCTGAAAAGCTTCTGAAAAGGAGCTTTTGAAAGCCTGGCCACTGGTTGGGGGGGTTTGGAGCTGGGGAGCTTCCCCTTGGCAAGTGCCCTCTGTAGAAATGCTGCATCTCATCCCAGAGTCTGGATCCCCCCCCAAAAAATAACACCAAGGGGGAGGGGTCAGATCTGGCACGTGGTGATGACTGCTGGGAAGTCTTCCTTCCAAAGCAGGAGGGTACTTTGCACATTAAAGTCCCACCAGTTTGGTTTCTCACACAATTGCCCCCCCCAGCCCATCTTTGAGTCACACATTCAAGAGGTGCCTTCACACCTTCTCACTTTTATGGGTGCAAATAAAAGCCAACTGCAATCACTGCTGGGTGAGAGCCTGTTTTGGGGGGGGGAAAGGGGCAGAGAAAAGAGAAAGGGAACAGGAGGAAAGCAGGAGATAACTCTTGTAGGGAAGCTTTTGGCTTCACCCCCCCCAGGAACAAAAAGGTGTGACAGGAACAGAACACAGAAGACAAAACACAATGGGACAAGGTAATGTGAAAATGCTAATGAGGGATAAAGTGATGAAGAAATACCTTGTTTTATCACAGAAAGTAATTGCTCTCAATAAAAAGCTATCAACAGGTATGGGATGAAACAAGGGAAGAACAATCAACAACCTGTGATGGTCCAAGAGTTGGAACAAGCCCCTCTGAAGAGAGAAATCCGAAAGGCAAATGAAATTAATGTTGCCAGGTAATTAAAACCAGGGTGGGTGATCTGTCTCAGGAGCACAGAGAAGGAACCATGAACTGAACTCTTCCTCCAAGAGCAGAACCCTCCAGGACATGCCACTTCCCCACAGCCACCCTGCTGAAGGGGGAGGGATCTTTTTAGCCATGAAATTCCAATTCTCATTTTTTTTGTGCAGTGAAATTCCAAACATGAAGCAGCTGTCTCAAAGTAAAAACACAAGAGCTGGGGCCACGTGCCTCCTTTCAAGGCCATGAATCTGCCAGAAATGGCTACCTGAAGAGAGGTTCTAAAAACACAGGCATCTGTAAGAGCCTGCTGCCTCACAGAGCCTCAAATCAAACCTGTTATTGACTGATCTAGGTGGAATTAACATCATTTTAGAGCCCTGGTGGCACTTCTATTTATCTCACGGGCAGGAAAGCAGAATAAACACCACCCTGACTGCAACTATTCCACTGTTCTCAGGTCAGCTGCTCTGGTCTCTCTCTGAAAACTGCAACCAGGGCTAGAAAACAGAGCCTGGGTTTAACGTCCAGCATCTTCTGGAAAAGCCAGCTCAGAGCTCTGGGAGAACATTCCCCTTTGTGGGAGGGCAAGGTGCTCCTGATCCACCAGAAAACCAAAACCCAACAGAGCCAAGGGTCAAACAGCAGAGGAGATCTCACCCAAAGGGATAATAAGGCATTTGTGGAATAGAAAAAGGAAGATTCCACCTTGTTTGCCAGGAGCTCTCCAGTGAGATTTAATATTAGAAGCTAGCAGGGCTTAAGAAGAAGAGTTTTTACATGCCAAAAACTGTCAGCCACAGCTTCCAAATATTTGGAGCAAGTCTTCAGTAGGTATTGAAGAGAGAGGATCATTTGGAAAGCTGAGGTAGATTGGTTTGAAATTCATCCTCCCAAAAAGCACAGACACACAGGGATTGAAGGAGGTGTGAGGGGTTTAGAAAGAGGAAAAAGGGTTTGTCCTTTTGAGGAGAAAAAAACCACATGGATTTGAATTCCTTCACTTTCCAGAGGTATTGCTGCAGCTGTACAGAAGTTCAGCTGACACGTGAGGGCAGGGGCTGCTAAAAAAAAAACCACAAAGCCTTCACTTAAACCCCCATCAATGTGCCAGAGCCACGTGGCCAAGTGAATTTTGACTCTGAAAAATCCCTTTCCTCCCAACAATCCCCCTTGCCCAGGCTGAAATTTGCCCAAGAGTCACAAATCCAGGTTGCTTAAAAAAGAACTGAGGCTGTTCAACACCTCCAGTAGAGTTTTAAATGACAAGTTTATACTCCTGCTTCTCTTCTCTCCCTCCCCTCCAGCAAAGGCCACGCTCTGGAGAGACAAGAAGGACCAACCCCAACCAAGAGAAGGCAACAAGAAGCTGAGGCAGCCCAACCAGGAGGGTTATGGATGGAGCTGGAAGTCAGGGATGTGACCCAGAGGAATGTGATCCAGGAGTTCAGCCACCCACCAGCTTGGCCAAGGCTCCCTGATTCATTTACAGGAGGCTTTAAGCCAATCACAGCTGCAGAGGGATCAAATGCAGCAAGAAACTCAAGTCTAAAAATGTGACAGCCCAAAATGCCACTGGATAATTACTTTAAGATGCTGGCAAGAGGCCAAAAGAACCTTCACAGCCCTTTCTTAGCATGGGTTTTGTTTGGTTTTTACAGCAAAGTTGTTTATTTTCCCAACGAGAGCTTCTTGGAGACTTTGTAGGACAAGTTGTGATGAGGAGGGATCAAGAAAAGCTTGGGTTTAAAAACTAAGAGTTGTAGAGTGCTGCATTTAAAAGAAAAACAAAAGTTGAAAAAAAATGAACAATACCTCCTTGGCACAACTGGAAAAATAGTTCCTGCAGGTGTCAGGGCAGCAACAGCCCTTGGAGAAGCTTTAGATGGAGGAGGTGAGGTCCCAAAAGAGGTGAGCAGAGCTACAGGCATGGTGTTGAAGGTCTGGAGATGTTGGTGGGGAAGGCCAAGTGTCCCCTGACAGCTCAGAGGCCAGGGAAGAATGCAGGGTGGATTTGCAGCCGCGTGCACGAGAAGCCTGAAATAAACAGTTGGGATGGAAATCCAGCCAGCCTGCCAAGGGAAAAATCAAAGGGGAAGGAGATTCTGCTCGTGGGCACAGAGTTGAGGGGCTCAGGAAGCCTTGAAATGGCCAAGCTGAGAGGGATTTGTCACCTTTTCACTCAGGTGATGATGGTCCCGTGTCACCTCAGAGGGTTTCAAATCCTTGCAGGTCCCTTTTGCACCTCAGCTATTCCATTCCAAACATTCCCCACGTGGGTTTTTAGCAGCAGTTCCACAAAAAAAAACCAAAACTCTTTCCTTGGTGCACTTCAAGACTTAAGCCTGAGGGTTTTTAGCTCTGGTGTGGGAAAGAGGCACAGGGGTGGTAAGGGGAAGGAAGGAAGTGTGTCTCCTGGCATCTCCCAGCTCTGAACCTGAAGAGAACTTGGCCAGGAGCCACTGGAACATACACAGA